GTTCAACATCATCATTTCAAACCTACGGTAATACTATTGAAGTTACTCGATCCATACTTGTAGAGAATACTCATAAAACTACAGTGAACATTTGGAGATCCATTTCAACGGCAAATTGAGGCTTGTTTATAAAATTTGTTTTCGAACGTGCTAATATGATAGGGCATCTTTGGGAAATCTCCCCCCCTGCCTGCTCACGGCAAAATTTAGACGATTTTCAGTGTTTTTTTTCTAAATACTGATGATTATCTGGCTATTTTACTTCAAATTGTTCTTCTCTAAGGTAGGTGGCTTTATGTTCTTCTATTCTGATCATGTTTTAGGTAGAATAAAAAGCTTTGTGAATGGGAATAGGATCAACTATGAAACTTCATTTTTCAAGAATGTCGGGGATAAAAACTGTGAATTTCTAACATCCATCGCCGAAATTGTCGAGATAGATCGCAACTTCTATCGCCAATTTTTTTTCACTCCCTGTTTTTGGCGTTTGGCGACCTCTTATTTGCCACACTGTGTTATTATCCAACTTAATGAAAAATATGTGTGTTTGTCCATCCATGCATTAGTCCATCCATTCGTTTGTCTGGGTGGTAACTCAAATACTGGTCGACAGATTTGATTTAAATTTTATAAGCTTATGGGTGTAGGACCTCTGTTCGTGAAGGAATTTTGAATATGGCCCCTCAGTTCAAAATGGCCGTCATTTTTCATAAAAAATGTGATTTTTGATAACTCAAATACTAGTTAACGGATTTGGTTCAAAGTAGGAGGGACAGTCATATGTTAGATTTTGGCTACTTTCTGAGGATTTAAACAGATGCATATGTTAGGCCAATGCATTACCTCCAGGAAAAGCACTTCTAGAGATGATAAAATGTATTTTGACTTTGAGACAGGGTAGATGCAAACAACCCAGCCACATGTTTTTTCTGAAATGTTTTCCTGATTTTCAACCCCTTCCACTCCAGTTTTTATATTTTTTCTTGCATAGATATATTGCGTTTTGACACACAGTTAAACCCTTTAAAGGAATAAGTGATTCCTTTTAGATAAAGTGGAAAACAATATTTCCCATGTTATAAATTCATGCAATCCATTGCTTTCAGCTAATTTGGTCACCCATAATGAATATCTTGAAAACCCCTGTAGGAATTACTTATTCCTTAAAAGTGGTTAATTGTGTGTTAAAACACAACATATTGATGCAACAAAAATTAAAAAATCAGGGGTGGAGGGGGTTGAAAATCAGAACAACATTTCAGAAAAAACTTGTGGGTGGGTTTTTTGCACCTCCTTTGTCTCAAAGTCGTAATTATTTTATCATCTCTATGAGTGCTTTTACTGGTGGTGATGCATTGATCTAACATATGCACCTGTTTAAATCCTCAGAGAATAGCCAAAATCTAACATGTGACTATCTGAAATCTGTTACACTAATTTTCCCTCCTCCTTTTATATACTGATGCCTAGGAACAAAGGAGCCAAATACCAGAGAACAGATTTGGTTCAAATTTTATATGATGATGCCTAGGCACAAAGTTGATTTGTTCAAGAAAGAATTTTCAAGATGGCGGCTGAATTTCAAAATGGCCACCATTTTTCATTAAAATGTAATTTTTGATAACTCAAATACAAGTGAACGGATTTGGATCTTTTATATGATAATGCCTAGACACACAGTACCTCTGCTTGACAAAGAATTTTCAAGATGGCTGCTGAATTTTAAAATTGCCGCCATTTTTCGTAAAAATGTAATCTTTGATAACTCAAATAGCAGTGAACAGATTTGGTTCAAATTTTATATATTGATGCCTAGGGACACAGTAGCTCTGTTCGAGAAAGATTTCCAAAATGGGGGCTGGATTTCAAAATAGCTGCCATATTTCATAAAAAAGGAATGTAATCTTTGATAACTCAAATGCTAATTGACGGATATGGTTTACATGTTATATGTTGATGCCTAGGGACAAACAAGCTCTGCTCAAGAAGGAATTTTCAAGATAGCCACTAGTAATCAAAAAAAAGTTTGGTGGGATTGGCTACTCGATGGAGTTGCTGTTTTTACAGTTCAAAAAAAGAGTTCCGCTGTTTTGAGGTTATACATATCTTAGATATCCATAATGTCATTACTGGGAAGGCTTTTTTAGCAATTAAATAAAACCCTCAATTGAAAAAAAAACATTTTTCATGATGTCCTGATCCTGGAACTGCTGGACAACATCCATTCAAGGATAGGAAGTCACTCGATAATATCAAGATGTTGGAAAAATAATTATTAGTAAGAAGAGCTTGATGTTTTACAGTATACTTTCACGGATGCTATCACCAATGCAATGTATGTGGGGGTATAGTATGTTTTATTTAAAGGCCCTATGTAAATTTTGAAAATATGTTCTTATCATTCTTAAGATTTTTGAAAAATTAGTTGCCACTTAAATGTTTAACACATTCAGTGTTCGCGCTAGCCATTATATATTGTGAAAGTGAAAATAAAGTGGGCGATAATAGAGTGCTTACACTAAATTGGGATAAAAATGACATATATTGTAATTTGATGCATCCTCCCGATAAATATCTATCACTGGGTCCTTTTCACACAATTCTTAAGTAATGTTATACCAAAATAGTCCAAAATGAATAAAGGAAATGCTCAAATTAAGAGTTTTGTTTTCACATTTTAAAACTTGCGATCTTGAAGGTCATGTCAAGGTCGTGAACTTTTGCTTCTTTTTATTAACATTTCTCCTTATTCTGAAGACTTTTAGATGAAAAACCTCGATCTATCTTTAAACAATTATCTTGATGTATAACATTAGATCAATATATAATGGTTTCTAGTGGAAATAATAAAGATAATGGTGAAAAACAATAGTTTCAATTTGTGGGGAACCACAGGGAATTTCTGCAATATTGTATGTTTCGATCTTCCATTTCGATTGCGGCAATTTCCGGAATATATCGGAACCAATCAAAATCCATGTCTCATACTGGAAACCCTGTTAATCTTCGGTAGTCATGATAGCCAATCAGATTTGTCGATATAAATATACCTGGATCATTGCTCGTATATCAAGGTAGTGATTTTGAAAATCTTGATGAAAATCATGTTTCACCGCTACTGTGCTGCAGCAAAAGTTATCTTGAAGCAGTTTATAATTTTTGCGTCCTAGGGACGTAAGTTGATTTTGATTTTTACGTCCAACCTTCTGAAATTTCCGTAAAAATTTCCGAAAAAATGGCAAAAAACGGCGTCAACGCGAACACTGACATTAAAAATATTTTGCAACCTAAATGACATAGTGGCATCACTCAGATGGTAAAAAACTTTTGGAAAAAGATTTAAAGAAATTATCAATGTCAATCCTTTCTAAATATGCTAAACTTCGAAAATAAACCAATGATGATTGTCTAACCAGGTTAAAAGGAAGAATATGTTTTGTTTTAAATGATATTGTACCATTGGTTTCTATGAGAACTCAATTTTGAAATGCATTTTTCTCTGAACCACATTCAAACGTTGCTGAGTTAATTTGTCGCTTATTATCCCATCGAATGAAGTTCGGAGGGATATAGGGAACGCCTCTGTCCGTCCGTCCGTCCGTCCGTCCGTCCGTACGTATGTCCGTCTGTCCGTCCGTCCGGTCAATAACTCAAATACCGTTGGCCCGATTTTGTTCATATTTTGTACACATATACCCTATGGGGGTAGAAATTCTGCTCGAAAGCCGATTTTCAAAATGGCCGCTCATTTCAAAATGGCGGCCATTTAAGTGACGATTTTACAGTAATTTAGGTGCAATATGTAAAACTGTAATAGCAATATGTTTTAAATGTAAAAAATTATAAAGGACATTAATAATGCTACAAATGTAGATATTAAAGAAGCACATGGCAGCCATCTTGAAAAATGGCGGCCTTTACTCGTCATTTTACGATTTTTGCTATAACTCGAAAAGTAGTTTAGCGATTTTGTTCATATTTGGTATGTGAATACTATAAGCATTGCACACTGTCTAAAGACACTTTTGGTAGAAGGCGGCCATTTTTCAAAATGGCCGCCATTTTAACATATTTTACTATAACTCGAAAAGTAGTAGAGCGATTTTGTTCATATTTGGTATGTGAATACTATGAGCATGGCACACTGTCCTATGACACTTTTGGTAGAAGGTGGCCATTTTGAAAAGAAATTGAAAAATGGCCGCCATTTTAACATATTTTACTATAACTTGAAAAGTAGCGGAGCGATTTTGTTCATATTTGGTATGTGAATACTATAAGCACGACACACTGTCCTATGACACTTTTGGTAGAAGGCGGCCATTTTGAAAACAATTTTGAAAAATGGTCGCGATTTTAATGTATTTAACTATAACTCGAAAAATAGTGGAGCGATTTTGTTCATATTTGATATGTGAATACTTTAATCATGGCACATTGTCTAATAAAACTTTAGAGAGTAGTCGGCCATTTTGAAACATGGTAACCATTTTTATGTGTGTTATTTTACAAGTACGTGTGCGATTTTACAAGAGGTGGCTACTTAAAAGCATATTATTTCTTCTGATGACAACTTGGCTAGTGAGCAACCATTTTGAAAATGGTGGCCTTTCTGGTGTGTTGTTTTATTATATTTGCGCTTCGTTGGTAAAAATGCCAGCCATTTCTGTTCGATGGGATTCGCTACGCTTTGGCGTTGCCGTTGTTCTGGTTCATGAACCCATTCTCGGCAAAAAAACACATTAGAATAAATGAATTATTGCTTATTAAAAGATATGTGTGACCTCTAAAATAAATTCATGATTTTTAGAACAAAAAGTCCTTCAAAAACCATTTTTGAAATTCAAAAAAGTTTCACATATCACATTTTGATAACATTAGGTAAGGCTACAATATAAGCCAAAGTGGTTTAAACTTTTTATAGGGCCTTTAAGTTCACACTTGGCACTTTGACAAATCAAATATTATGTGAGCACGAGTGCCACAGGAGAAGATAAAGAAATGGAACCCAGAGAAATAGAAGCTATTAAGACCACATCCAGTCTAAAGGAAAAAATGTTTCTAACAAAACATAACAAATCATTTCTTGGAATATGTTGGATTAGTTTGATGATATTTCTCTTCAATTCAATCTACGTTTTTGACAATGAAAACACTAAATTGATCATGCAGGAATCTGAGAATTTGTTTTACCTCTCAGTAAAAAATGTCAACACAAACAAACAAAAAATGACTATGAAACCAAATGAGAGTCAGATTTATGCGATGTCTTTGAAAGAGAACTTTACTACATACAAAAAACAAAAGATGGAAAAACGAAGTGAAAGTATGTTGACACCTGCTGCTTTTAGCACAAGAGAACATATAAATATAGTGCATGAAGCAATGTTTGAAATGAAAAATGAGAGTTTGTACAAAGAACAAACAACATTCGAACCAAATGGAACTCTTACCAACACAAAATATAATACTACGTTGACAGTCAAAGATGTTACCATTCAGCAGAGGAAACCGCTAACACTAAAAATCCATACACAAAATTTACCACATCAAGTCACAAATCAACATGATGATGAATTCCTCATTAACGAACACATGGTGTGCGACATGAAAACGGATCTCTTGGTAATCATCAAGACAGCCCCAAGTCATCTAAAACATAGGGAAATAATTCGTAAAACATGGGGAATTATTACAAGAATGAATGGATTCTCTTTACGCCATATATTTCTCCTGGGTGATGCTGGCTCAAAGAGTGTTAATGATGCAATTCAGAATGAAAGTAGAATTTACAGGGATATCATTCAAGGGGACTACAAAGATGCATATAGGAACCTTACACTTAAAGTATTGCAAGGGTTAAAATGGGCCACAGATTTCTGCAAAAATGTAACATATATCCTTAACACTGATGATGATGTATTTGTTAATATTCCTTCACTTTTAATTCTTATCAAAAAGCTACAGTCAAATGGAGAACAGCAAAATGGATTATTTTGTAGTGTTTGGGTTAACACACGACCCATACGTAATCCTAATAGTAAGTGGTATGTCACAAAAACGCAGTTCGAGCCTAATAAATATCCAGATTATTGTTCTGGAATGGCTGTTTTGTATACAAAAAATGCTGCTTTTGCAATATACAGAGCATCTTTAACTGTTCCTTTTTTCTGGGTGGATGATGTGTACATTACTGGGGTTTTAGCAGCTAAAGCTGGGATACCTCATACTCACATTAAACTTGGAATTGAAAATTGGAATTTCTGGCCTATGAAAAGTGATCCTAAGAAATTTATTGCGATTGAGCTCAAAAAGATTCAAGGCATGTTAGAAATTTGGCAAAACATAAAAATGCCGTAATTAAAAACATACTGTGTTTGTTTAACATTTCATTTATTTTGATCTAAAAGTCTTACATCTAAGACAAATCTCTAAAAGACTGCCAACCCACAACATTTTACCCCTTAGACAGTTCACCCTTAAAGACCCATTTTTTTAAGTTTAGTACATGTTATAAGATTTTATAGTAACTTATACAAAATATTATATTGAGAAAAGATTAACAGAGAAAAAAAGTTTTAAATTTTTTTCTAAAAGTTTTTGCCAATGCGGTGACTCGAATACCCTTAGCCCGATTTTGTTCATATATGGTACACATATACCCTATGGGGGTACAAGTTCTGCTCGAAAGCCGATTTTCAAATTGGCCACTCAACAGTATATCTTCTGGACATTTCACTTCACAATATTTAACCTCCTGCCCATTTCTATCCCTGTACCTTTCACCAATGGACATTTCACCTTTCACCCATTTGATCCCCATACATTTTAATCCTTGCAGATTTCTATCCCTGTACCTTTCATCAATGGACATTTCACCCTTTACCTATTTGATCCCCATACATTTTAATCCTTGCAGATTTCTATCCCTGTACCTTTCACCAATGGACATTTCACCTTTGACCCATTTGATCCCCATACATTTTAATCCTTGCAGATTTCTATCCCTGTACCTTTCATCAATGGACATTTCACCCTTTACCTATTTGATCCCCATACATTTTAATCCTTGCAGATTTCTATCCCTGTACCTTTCACCAATGGACATTTCTATCCCTGTACCTTTCACTCATCGACATTTTATCCCTACACATTTGATCCACTATACATTTCACTAATGTACATTTCACCCCTGCACACTCCTACACATTTTAGTCGCTGTAGATTTTATTTCCTGCACATTTTACCCCATGGACATTTCACTAATGAACATTTTACTCCTGCACATCTGATTCCTTGTACATATCACCACATATATACATATCAGACATCAGAGGCAGCTATTGTTTATGTTGTTTATTTTACATGATATAATATCATGCTCTGAAAAAGTGCTTGTTTGACTTAAAAAACTCGTAAAATTGTTTATACTACATTTTAAAGACTCTAGGTAGTCTAAGTAGGAAATAAATAGTTAAAATGATTACTCTGTTTTGCCTTTGTTTAACCTCACTGTTAGATTGTAAGAATCCTTTTATGAATCAAGAGGTTGTAATTCCACCCAAATCCTTACATTTTGTATTACTTTACTAATGAGGTATTCCATAGGCCCGGGAACATGTATAAAAAAGATAGAGTCGAATACACCAAGTAATCTCTTTACTTGGTGTATTCAACTCAACCTTCTTTATACATGTTCCCAGGCCTATGAGGTGTTCAGTATTTATAATTTATGAAATTTTTTATTTAAAAGAGTAGTTTATTCAAATTTTCTTCCCTTGATTTTTAAATGGTTTAAAAAAGTTATAATGAAATCTACTGAGTGATGCCATTTTGAATTGAAATTACAGTAAAACCTGTTTTTGAACACCTATTAAATCTGAACACCTCTGTGTGTGATCTCTTTTTTTAATCTGCCATGGTGTTCCACAGGTCTCTCCAGGCTTTTAGACTGTGGTGCAGTACCACACTATTTAGCTCCCACCATACCCTACTGGCAAATCATGATTGTTTCCACAGTCTAAACTTGACTGAATATACAATAATGGCATGTAAAAAGGATAAAATAAAATATAAATATGATTTATCACGATTGAACGGTAATGCTGAAGATGTTTGCACTGCACACCCTAAATATTTCCTAGTGAGAGCCCTATTCCATGTTATACAAAACCTTGAAATGTGAACACCTGCCAGTCTGAACACTTGGCCAGCCTTAGTGGCATTCAGATTAGACAGGTTTTACTGTAGGGCAACATTACAATGTTAATTGAATTAATTTATGTTTCCTAGACCTTATTTTTGTAATTTTAAAATTTTTCACAAACAAGTAGTGTGTAGAAGGTATAGTACGCCTAGCTTTCCTTTAAGTTCAAAAGAAGCCAGCCTCTGGAAAGACACTTATCCATCCTTCCCTTTGTCCATCCGTCTGGCAACAATTTATAAATTAGATCTGCCTGAACTAATGCTCATAACTATGTTATGGGTTCCATACTGGTACTTACTTTTGCCTAATTTTGGAGAAATGTTTTTGTGTACTCAAATAACACATTTTTCTCAAGTCGACTCTAATATGAAAAATGGAGCCAGAAGTCTACGAAAAAATGGGCCTTTTATGTCTTTATTTCTGCTAAAATTATTGAAGAAAATTGGGTGAATTCACTTCCAAAACAGTCTATTGATACCTTATTGAACACAAAGATCTAGGTTAGATCATTTTGTTGCTATATTCTTTCAATAAACAGCTCTAATTTTCTTTAATTAGCATAACACTTTTATATTCCTGGCGAACATCTAAAACTCGTTGTAACAAGGCTCGCTATAGCGACTTAAAACTGACTACTGAAAAGTCGGGATTATGGATCCTGAAGTTATGCCCATATATGTTCTCGAAATCTTGTGTCAAACAGTGAGCCCTCAGGTTTCGGACCCATCTAGGCCCTAAAACATAAAAAATGTATGTCAAAATATGTATAATAGAGTTTTATATTTAAGGAATAAAGAATCCTGTATCATACTTTATCGGAAATTTAAAAACATGAGTTCATGTACTGACCTGTATATATAATGCACAAAGGCTGAGACAGAGTACATTATCAGGATGGTTAAGTACTAAGTACATGCATGAATGCTTTTAAATCCAATAAAGAATCATACAGGGTTGTTTATTGTAATTCAAATATGATATCACTCGTTCATAAAAATGACATTGCACAGTTCTTTATGAAACCATAATGCACTGTGAAGACACTCCACAATTAATTATAAAACCATACTGTTAATAATGTTTCTGCTCACAGCGCTTGCATTAGGTTAGAAAATTTGTGAGTCCCAAGGACGCAATTTTTTTTAAAAAGTGTGTCCTTTGAAAAAAAGTGTGTCCCCTATTTCTAGCCTGTTTTGAGGTATAACTTTATTTTAAAAGCATTTTTTACCAAAACACCTTTCAGTTTTTGATTTCTTGCCGCGAATTTAAAATGGAAGTAAACATTAAGTACAGACTGAATAAATGCATGTTCGTTCATTCTTCAATGAATACATTTTATTTCATGAATAACCAAATATTTGTTTCTGATTAGGAAAAACTGGCGTGTCATGGTTTCAAATCTAAAAATAAACAAAGTCGAAAAAATTCGAGAGAATCATGATTATTTGTAAATATTCAACATGTTGAACCTTATTTACGATTGAAATAAAGGTGAGAGATTATAATTATTTGTTTTTGTTAGGTATCGTTGTAAACACATTGTAGTATTGACCTAAAAAAAATTTGCGTCCAGAAAACGGAAATATTTTCAATTTTTGCGTCCTCCAAATTATTTTTATTTTGTACGGGACGCCGTTAATGCAAGCCCTGTGCTCAGTTTACCATATACTTTGAATGATACATTTAAATACTCTTAACTGATTGACTGAGACAAACTTGGCATATTTATTTGAACTAACCTTAATTCTGTTTTCTGAATATCTTGACCAGTTTGAATGTATTGGTTTTGCAACATTACCTGTTGGTGTAAAGCTATGTTGATTTGCCAACAACTAATAAATTATTACTTTTAAAATAAATTGTTAAGCTGATTTTGGTTTTGCTATAATAGTAATAAATTTTGTCTCCAGAATAAGCTGTTGAGCTGATTTTGGTTTTGCTATAATAGTAATAAATTTTGTCTCTAGAATAAGCTGTTGAGCTGATTTTGGTTTTGCTACAAAAGTAATAAATTTTGTCACCAGAATAAGCTGTTCAGCTGATTTTGGTATTGCTATAACAGTAATGCATTTTGTCTCTAGAATAAGCTGTTAAGCTGATTTTGGTTTTGCTATAACAGCAATACATTTTGTCTCCAGGATAAGCTGTTGCGCTGATTTTGGTTTTGCTACAACAATAAGCTGTATAGTATTAAGCTGATTTTTTAAATAATAAATTTTGTCTCCTGAATAAGCTGTTGAGCTGATTTTGGTTTTGCTACAACAATAAGCTGCAAAGTATTTAGCTGATTTTTTTAATAATAAAGTTTGTCTCCAGAATAAGTTGTTGAGCTGGGATGCAAATCATAAAGTGAACAAGCAGCAGACCTACTGCTACTGTGGTGGACCTGGGGACTGGTTTATGAAGATGCTGCAATGTTGCAGGTGTAAGCAGTGGTTCCATGAAGGTAGGCAACAACTAGTTCATGTATAGTGTAGTATTGTAACTCTTGATTTTAAATGGTAAAGGCAAATTTTGCAGATCATACTATGTAGATGGAAGACTTGAGAATTAAGGTAATACAAAGAAATGTTGTTGAATATAACCTCGTGTATGGCAACTAGATGATCATTTCAACCAATGTAATGATGGTGATCTTATCGCATTTTTCTAAAGTAAAACATCTTACTCTAAATTCCATAATGCTCACCAGCTATTTCATCATTATTAGAGTAACTGAGAATGCTGCACCCTCTTGACAGTTTGAATATTAAATGCCCCGCCCCCTCCCATTGAGCATCTGCATGCACACTGTCAAAAAGATTTAGTATTGACATATTTTCACCAAAATATGATTTTGCACCCTGTTAGGTACCTGGGGAGGTCACTGTTCATGTGATTTTTTGGATTTGATTGTTTTACAGTTCCATCATTTATAAAGCCTCATGATCAGGCCTGTAGCCAGGATTTCTCAAGTGGGGTTCTCTTTTTGTTAAATTTACATCCAGATTTGCACCGCGCGCAATACCTAATTCAGTTACTTAATTATCATTGACAGTCATACTTTCCTTCGGATAATGAATGGATCTTAAAGATATGCCTATCTTCGTGGTCAGCCTGAGCGTTATAATCAAAGATGTAACCGTCTAAAATTGTTTGCAATAACATATACGTCTTGCAAATTCTGCTGCAAGATTAACTTTTAATGTCAATTAAGTTAGCTTTTTTGTCACTAGTTTGTCTATATGGGCCAAGACTCAGCACGATCAAATATTGATCATAAAAGAGTATAAAGTTCGATCCTTTCTTTTTTAATTGTTATACAGTTATATGTAATCAGTTCATTCTGACACTAATCTTATTTTATTTAAGATTTAAATTTTAAAAATACACTTCATTAAAATATTGATTCTAAAAGATACACTGTTGCGTCATTGTGAATTCGTAACTTTTCAGAAAAACATCATTAAAAATTGAATTAAATGGCCAATTAGTATTACTATTATATTCGGATAAAATGATTTTGCTTCTAGACACCACATGAGCTCCAATTACAGATACGAACAGAACTAATACTGTATAAGTGGTATTTAATCCGAGTGGTTAATTTTCCGAATGGTCAATTTTCATCACTTTCCTAATTTTAATTTTCCTAATGACAAGAAACCTCCCATTGGATAACATTATAAAGACAATATTTCCGACATTTAATTTTCCGAACCTGGCAAAAATTAGGAAATAGGCAAATAAAATGATTAGGCAAAATTACCACTTATACAGTATGTTACATATATGAACACAGTAAATGGTTGAATTCTATTATAGCACGATTGAATATTGATCATAAAAGAGTATATACCGTTCCTACAATTCTCATTTATTAAATTGTAATAGCGTATGTAATCCATTTCATTCTGACGCTAATCTTATTTTATTTAAGATTTAAATTCAAAAATACACTTCATTATAAAATATTGATTATAAAAGATACACCGTTGCTTCATTGTGAATTCGAAACTTTTCAGAAAAAATTTATTGTTATGATTGAATTAAATGGCCAATTACTGTTTTTATCATAGGTTCTGGGCCGATATAAAGATGGCAGCACACAGAATCCAGTATTATCTTTTTCTTTAAAGAGAAACACACATAAACACAGAACGATTACCATGCCATCTTTATTTAAAAATGATTTCTATCGCCCCTGAGCCTATGGTTTAATATCCTGATGTCGAAATGATTTTGCTCCTACTAGACCAGGTGTAAAAGGGTAGAAGGTCCTATCAAATTATGGTCCTACTCTCCGATTTATATGGTGTCCTAAATACAACTCTTTCCCTCATTATCTTATACACAATCAGGGCCGATAAGAAAGGGGACCATAATCCCTGGGCCTGTCCCTGAGGGACCATCATTTCTTTCACACTGGCCTTGTTATAGTTTCAAACAGGACACATGCCTTGGTCACATTTGCTACGATTTATAGGAAACAAACAAATATATATAAAAATGCATGTTATAATAATAATATTAATCTCTTAACATAAGTATATTGTTGGCATCTGCATGGGCATCTCATGAATTGACTGTGACACTCTCTTGCGTATGAAGTCGCGTTGTTTGCGGCTTGTGAATGAAAGTTGAATTCTCCTTCAAGGCAAATGAAAATCAGTAGCCCGATAATTATGTGGATGGTGCTATATTTGAAAACACCATAATGTTGATGGTGCCGCGTTAGTCTGAAAGCGCCATAATGTGGATGGTACTTAGGTCTGTAAGCCCCATAATGTGAATGTTGCTTGGTTCGTAAAGCCCATAGGTTCTGGGCCGATATAAAGATGGCAGCTCCAACAGAATCCAGTATTATCTTTTTTTTCTAAAGAGAAACATAGATAAACACAGATCGATTACCATGACATCTTTATTAAAAAATGATTTCTATCGCCCTTAGCCTATGGTAAAGCCCCATAATGTGAATGGTAGGTGCTGGAGTCTGGAGCGCCATAATGTGGATGGCGCTCGAGTCTGAAAGCCCCATAATGTGGATGGTGCTTGAGCAATTGCGCCATTATTGGGGATGGCACACGCGTTTGAAGCGCCATCATGTGGATGGTGCTAGAACAGTTGGATTCCATAATGTAATGGAAGTGACGATTGAGTGCAGATTGAGTGTTTTGTTCAAAATTGAATACAAATTTGAACGAAACACTCAATCGGCCGGACGCCGGCCGATGGATCGGAGCAAATGTGACCCAGGGATAATACGCTACATAGCCCCACATGAGCACAGTAAATGCTTAAATCCATTCTGATACTCATCACATTCTGCCTTTAACAAGAAATATGGAGGCCATGGTTTCTCATTGATGGGTTGAATCTTATCTAATTTATTTCATGAACTTTTGGGAATTTTTGACCGGGGGTTCGCACGAACCTCTCGAACCCCCGCTGGCTACAGGCATGATGATAACATCTATTTTTCTCTATATTTCAGCATGCATACAATGTCTGGAATACCCTTTACTGTGCGGTGATAGGTACTATATATTTGTATGCACAGTGTGCAATAAAGGCCCTGAATACATACAGAAGCTGTCTATTAACTGGTATGTATAAAATTTCAATTATTTCACCCATTTACAGTTGTTGTAATGTAAAGACGCTTAAAATATAATTTAAGAAAATATTTTCATTGAAGTAGATTTTGAATTGTGATGTACCCATCCTGTGATGTCACCAATGCTCCTTTATATGTAGATTGAAAAGATATGTTTTGCAGCTCCTTTAAGAGGTTTGTGTTACTCTTTTGTTCCAGGATAAACCTGACCCAATTGTGTCTGTTTAATCTGACAGTTGTTAAAGGGAAGAAATACTATGACGTGGATGAAATCGTTTCCTGGATTGAGACACATCGTGACAAGTTCATCATTAAAGATGTAAGAAATGATCAAATTTTAAATAGTTGAATGGTCTTATTTTAAAAAGTTGAAAATGAGCACTAACTGAAATGATGCATGGACTTAGAAACAACTAAAATCATGTACATACAGTATTAGTTAATATGTTATTTATCACTAACTTTTTAGTTTTTCAATAAAAAAACAAAGTAAAGGTCAGTGAACTTTGATTTGCATGTTAGGACAGCTCTGCATATAATAATCTTTCAATAATTCTTGCATCTAGTTTACTGATTTTCATGTACTAATTGTAAATATTTCTTTTCAATAAACTCCATTATAGGAATCAGACACAACAAAGCCAGAGCCAGCTTTAGCACCTAAGATTCTTGAGATATTACTTTATCATACTAATCGATTCAAAAGTGGCATGGAAATTCGCAAGAAAAGGTCAATATTTGGATTGCGTCTCCGTGTCCCTCCACCTGTGCCGAAGATAATACTCCCTGCTGTCGGCCAAATCACAAAGGAAGTCATGTCTAATCTGCACATAGTCGGGAAAAAAACCAAAACATTCATACCTGCTCAAAGGTGTGTAGTCAGCTATTTCAGCAACAGAAAATCAAAAGAAAATCTAATGTACAAAAATATGATTGATGAATGAAATTAATACCTGATTGATAATAACGTGATCAAATTTTCAATCTATTAAGTATGAGTACCAAAGAAATGTTACTTTTGTCTCCACTGTGAAATACTATAGTACTACTGTTTTCTATGTCACCACCAAAAAGTGGTGACATATTGTTATGTTCTCTGTTTTTTGTGACGGCGAATGGTGGTTTAAAGTGTCTGTAACAAATTCTGACAACCTCCAATAACTTAAAGAGACTCTACCCCATAGGATAGCACAAACAAGACCCATCTTGACTTTTTGCATATTTAGTTCTACCACTTATTCACATATCTATTTACAAACAAAGAATTTTGCGATTGTACCGACTGATCAAATTAATTTTCGCGGAAATTAATTCAAACTGAAGTTTGAATATACCGTGAAAATCCTCCTGTTATCTGATTGGTCGTGAAATTTGTTTATCTTGAACCTGATTGGCTTCATGGTTCAAGATGTGGGCGTTTGTGTGGCTGGACAGGAATTCCTTTCGATGGCTGGGAAATCAATTGTGTTTAATTACGAATGTTGGTTGTTCAATGTATCAGCAATAAAATACCAATAAGTTACTCTCAAGATATACCCAAGGTATGTAACATATTGTTTGAGCAATAATAATAGGTCATCACTGAATCTCCGGGAGAGAAATCCATGGTAAACTGCATCTTTAACAGATACTGTTTAGACTTCTGACTGAAGTTCTCAGAAGGTTAAATCTGACGTTAGATTTGAGATTTGACCTTCTCAAGGTCAAAAAAGGTCTTTTTTCAACTCGCTTAAATTGACCATTTTTTCAAAAGTTCTCAGAAATTCAAATCTGACTTTAAATCTGAGATTCGACCTTTAATGACCTTCTCAAGGTCAAAAAGGTCTTTTTTCAACTTGCTTCAAATTGACCAATTTTCTTCAAGTTGACTAATTTTTTTTCAAAGTCATCTACAAGTTCTCTTCTCAGAAATTCAAATCTGATTTTTATTAAATTGAAGACTTGACCTTCAATGACCTTCCCAAGATTAAAAAAAGGTCAAAAAGGAATTTTTCAACGTGCCTCAAATTGACCATTTTTTCAAAATCATTCAAATCTGACATAAGATTGAACTCATAATATTATGAGCAACTGGGTGATGACATTTGTCATGTTAATGCCGTGTTTGTATCGTATTGTACCATGGATAACCATTCTAACATTAACATGCCATTTAACATTTTGATTTGCAGCCTTTCTCCAGTCACAATACCCCCAAAGAGAGGCAGTCAAGGACGTGGAAGAGGTCGCAAGAGAAAACAACAAGTTGATGATCATGTGGCGAATGGAGACCTCCATCCAAAGAAAAAAAGATTACTTGATATTAGACAGGTTCAGCTCTTTATTAACCTTATTGAACAAAGTTCGAACAAATAAAAATAATGGCTCTGTCAATCTATTTTGGTGATAACTCAAATATCATTTGCCTGATTTTGTCTTCTTCATCTTTTATTTTCTCCCGTGACCCGTCTTTATAAAAAAAAAGAATGGATAAAAGGTAAAAGAATTATGTATTTTTGTTTCAGGTAAATGGAACTTCAAGTGTTAACCAGGATTATAAAGGTTACTCAGGGAATTTCGATGTCTATGACTTCCATGATGACAGCTCTTTACCTAAAGCTGTACCTTCTGATCCATGGATCTCTGATCTCAAGCCCCCTACATTATCACCCCCAAAATTCACCCCTGGATCTCCAGGGTCCAAATCTCCTACTAAGAAAACGAGGAAACCTAAAGTAAAAGTGCCTTTATTAGAGCGACTTATTCCTATTCCAACAACATTCGAAAAACACTTAAATCCATTTATGACTATAAGTGAACAGAAAATGGAATCGGAGAAACGTAGATTGCTCTATGAATACATTGACGATATGACTCCAGGTGTAGATGCTAGCCTACAGGAGGAGCCACCAGTCTTAGAAAAAATGACCGACGTGCCAAAAAAACGTGGACGAAAGCCAATCAAACGTGACACAGGCTCAGACATTCCTCAGCTTCAGAAAGCACTCTCAGAGCAGAACAATAATTATACTAAACTGAGAAATAACAACATTGCGACGGTAAGGGTTTCAGATCACAAGAAAATTAGTCGTTCAAGCTCAGGGACTAATCCTCTAAATCCTAAAAAGAAGTTAAAGGAACCAGAAGCCTTCAAAATCTTTGGGCAGAGACAGTCAGCAAATGGCCAATTGCAGTACTTCATCCATTGGAAGGATGATTTTTTACCGAAGATATAATAATTTGGTGCTTCGTAAAATATTTTTTTATGAAATTATCACTGCCAGATGATGTTTGTTTGATAGAATAATGAAGAGGTTTTTCTCTCAGTTCTTTAAGAAATTTGTAACTATTTTGCAATATAAAGGAATGTATCAAAAATAAGCTAGATTTAAGTGACCAAGTCATTATTTTGATGTAATGCCCAAAAATGTAATTACATGTAACTACATTATATTTCTCTTTTCCATAAAAAATGAAGTTGAATATTTATTGATTTTATCAATTTTAAAGTTGTAATATGATGTAAGCAGCAAAGCTGACAGAACGTAAGGATCTTACAAAAATTTAGTTGAATATTTATCGATTTTATTAAAGTACATGTACATTCATTTAAAATTTGATCTAGACTGACAGTATACAATGGACCTTACCCACTCTCCCAAAACATCATGATTTTCTTCAAAAATTCCATGTTAAAAATTGATTTTGTCAAATAAAAAGTTTCTTCTTTCGTGGTTTAAAGTATTTGTAGGTGTACAAAAGGACTATGTACTGGGAGGTTTTGGATATAGGGTATATCCTGAGGGCTATATTTATATCTCCCCGAGGGGCTGAAGGGACCGAGGGGAGATATAAATATTTCCCGATGGATATACCCTATATCCAAAACCAACCGTACATAACTGATGTATCTCATACTTGAGTGGGTTTAGGGTGGATATAACCTTTTCCACCTTTTTCAAATGACAAAATAGGCCTATAATAAAAGCAGAATTCATAATTAACATTTTCGTAATATTCCTTTAGTTCAATACTATGAAATTGTAACATTTAATTAATTTAAAACTTGAAACTTTTCAAATGTTTTGATTTTTAAACTGAAAAATTCCCTGGAGCAGGATGGATATATTATATCTGCCTGCATTTGGCCTGGAGCGGGACAGATACAATATATCCTGCCAACTCCTCAAATATGATATATGTTCCCGGGTGATATCTACCCCAAACCCACTCAAATATGAGATACATCAATATATTGACCGTCAGATGAGCCAGGGGTACAGAATAACTGGCTCAAATGAAGAGAAGGCTAAGTCTTAGTGTCATTTTGATTTTAAAAGATGCTTGCATTTATTGGTTTTTGTCAAACATTTCTGTGTATGCTAGTTTATAATTCGTGTCATATATATTAGACACGCCAGGCATTCCGAGATCTCTGATCGACACTCATCCTAGGAAATTCTGTTTTGCCTTTTTTTTTTAATCAAGTGCTCAATTCCATAGGTACCAAAAAAGAAGTCTGCAATTTTTATAATTACCCCTGGGCCCTTAGATTTGAACATGTTTTTTTTAACAAATGATTGTTTCATATATACTTGTCTGGGTGCTTAAATTTTAACTTGGTGCAAAGTTAACACAATGTTAGCTTGGAGATCACTACATGTATAATACAGATCCCATTGAACACAGTTTAAGAGGGATATAGATAAGCTGTCAATTTGTTTGTCTGCATTTGTACTGATTGTCAGATTTGTTCATAATTAGAAACTGAGGACCGCTGTTTCAGTTGGGATTTTTAATATGTCCACTCAATTCAAAATGGCCAGTTTTTTTGTGGAAAGGAATTGAAATAATAACACAAATACCAATTGGTTCAAATTTTATATTCTGATATCTAGGACATTAGGACCTCTGTACAAGCAGAAGCAGATGGGGCATTAAATTCAAATAAGCTTCCATTTTTATGAAAATATCTTTTTTGATAACTTCAATACCAGTTATCGATCAGTCCAAATGTTTAATTGGCAGGGGGCAAGTTCTCAAAAAAGATATTGTCATTTCATGGGTATGGATTCTGCCAAAAATGGACAATACTTCTTCCTTGTTATTTCTATTGTGAATTGTTCAAAATTATGAGTGATTGATCAAAAATAATTCATTCAGTAGGATTTACTACTCTGGGGAGATGCTATTATCAAGTTAACTTAATGTTTTGTTTTGTTTTTAGTTTCAGCTTTGGTCCATATGTACATTATTAAATGTATTTGGTCTGTACATATTGTGATTTTAATTTAGTACTGTATTGTGATTACTGCAATCCACTTGATAATATTGGTTTACAGGGTTGACTTTTATATTTGTAATACATGGGCAACTCCTGTTTTTAAGCCACCACAAAAAAGTTGTAACATATTGTTATAGCCAATGTTTTGTGATTGGAGGTGTCTGGTACAATGTGTTACATTTTGTTACCATTTGCAATAACTTTGTGGTGATATCTTGTCATGTTAAAGCCTTGTTGCATTGGTAATATGTTACATTTTCTAACCATTTGCAATAACTTTGTGGTGACATCTTGTCATGTTAAAGTCTTGTTGCATTGGTACAATGTGTTGCATTTTGTAACCATTTGCAATAAATTTGTGGTGACATCTTGTCATGTTAAAGTCTTGTTGCATTGGTACAATGTGTTACATTTTGTAACCATTTGCAATAACTTTGTGGTGACATCTTGTCATGTTAAAGCCTTGTTGCATTGGTATAATGTGTTACATTTTGAAACCATTTGCAATAACTTTGTGGTGACATCTTGTCATGTTAAAGTCTTGTTGCATTGGTACAATGTGTTGCATTTTGTAACCATTTGCAATAAATTTGTGGTGATATTTTGTCATGGTAAAATCTTGTTGCATTGGTAAAATGTGTTGCATTTTTTAACCATTTGCAATAACTCAGTTACATTTTGTTGTGTTAAAGCCTTGTTGCATTGGTACAATGTGTTGCATTTTTATGTCACCACCAAAAGTGGTGACATATTGTTATGGTCTCCATTTTTTTGCGACGGCGGTTGGTGGTTGGCGTCCGGCGGTTGGCGTCCGGCGTCTGGCGTCCGGCGTCTGTAACAATTTCTTATAACTTCCTATAACTTAACAAATACTGTTTAGACTGACTTCAATTTTTTTCTAAATCATCTACATGTTCTCAGAAGTTCACAATCTGACTTAAGATTTGACATTTGACCTTCAATGACCTTCTCAAGGTCAAAAAGGTCTTTTTTCAACTTGCTTCACATTGACTAAATTTTTTTTCAAAATCATCTACATGTTCTCAGAAATTCAAATCTGACTTTAGATTTGACTTTAGATTTGACATTTGACCTTCAAATCTGACTTTAGATTTGACATTTGACCTTCAATGACCTTCTCAAGGTCAAAAAAGGTCTGTTTTCAACTTGCTTCAAATTGACTAAAAAAAATTTTCAAAATCATCTACGTGTTCTCAGAAATTCAAATCTGACTTAAGATTTGACTTAAGATTTGACATTTGACCTTCAATGACATTCTCAAGGTCAAAAAAGGTCAAAAAGGTCTGTTTTCAACTTGCTTCAAATTGACTAAAAAAAATTTTCAAAATCATCTACGCGTTCTCAGAAATTCAAATCTGACTTTAGATTTGACTTAAGATTTGACATTTGACCTTCAATGACCTTCTCAAAGTCAAAAAAGGTCAAAAAGGTCTTTTTTCAACTTGCTTCAAATTGACTAAATTTTTTTTTCAAAATCATCTACATGTTCTCAGAAATTCAAATCTGACTTTACATTTGACATTTGACCTTCAATGACCTTCTCAATGTCAAAAAAGGTCAAAAAGGTATTTTTTCATCTTGCTTCAAATTGACTAAAGATTTTTTTCAAAATCATCTACATGTTCTCAGAAATTCAAATATGACTTTAGATTTGACATTTGACCTTCAATGACCTTCTCAAGGTCAAAAAGGTCTTTTTTCAACTTGCTTCAAATTGACTAAAAAAAATTTTCAAAATCATCTACGTGTTCTCAGAAATTCAAATCTGACTTTAGATTTGACTTAAGATTTGACATTTGACCTTCAATGACCTTCTCAAAGTCAAAAAAGGTCAAAAAGGTCTTTTTTCAACTTGCTTCAAATTGACTAATTTTTTTTTTCAAAATCATCTACATATTCTCAGAAATTCAAATATGACTTTAGATTTGACATTTGACCTTCAATGACCTTCTCAAGGTCAAAAAGGTATTTTTTCAACTTGCTTCAAATTGACTAATTTTTTTTTTCAAAATCATCTATATGTTCTCAGAAATTCAAATCTGACTTTAGATTTGACTTAAGATTTGACATTTGACCTTCAATGACCTTCTCAAAGTCAAAAAAGGTCAAAAAGGTCTGTTTTCAACTTGCTTCAAATTGACCAAATTTTTTTTCAAAATCTACATCTTTTCAGAAGTTCAAATTTGACTTTACAAGTTCTCAGAAGTTCAAATCTGACTTTAGATTTGACCTTGACCTTCAATGACCTTCTCAAGGTCAAAAGGGTCTTTTTTCAACTTGCTTCAAATTGACTAATTTTTTTTCAAAATCATCTACATGTTCTCAGAAGTTCAAATCTGACTTTAGATTTGACATTTGACCTTCAATGACCTTTTCAAGGTCAAAAAGGTCTTTTTTCAACTTGCTTCAAATTTACTTAATTTTTTTTCAAAATCATCTACATGTTCTCAGAAGTTCAAATCTGACTTTACATTTGACATTTGACCTTCAATGACCTTCTCAATGTCAAAAAAGTCAAAGAGGTATTTTTTCAACTTGCTTCAAATTGACGAATTTTTTTTTCAAAATCATCTACATGTTCTTAGAAGTTCAAATCTGACTTAAGATTTGTGTGCAACTAGTTTTAACTTGCTTCAGATTGAACAATTTCTTTTTTCAAAATCATCTACAAGATCCCAGAAGCTCAAATCTTCAAAAACCTTCTTAAGGTCAAAAGGTATTTTCCAACTTGCTTTAAATTGACCAAATTGTTTTAGGTGGTGACATTTTGTCATGTTAATGCCTTGTTTAACCTTTTGCAGTAACTTTATGGTGACATTTTGTCATACTAAAGTCTTGTGGCTTTGGTATAATGTGTTGCATTTTGTAACCATTTGCAATAACTAGATGACATTTTTTTGTATTAAAGCCTTATTGCATTGTGTTGCATTTTTAACCATTTGTGATAACAGTTAAAGCTTTGTTGCATTGAACTTTAGATATGCATTTAATCTTCCCTCTCTTGGGAGAATATAGGGCACATTGGCAGACAGACAGGCTTAATGCAAATTTTAAATGTTACCATGTACATGTAGTACTACACCACCAAAATGCAATCGGATTTTCGACGCCGTTTCAGTGCCAAATTTCGTTGCCGTTTCGGCACCAAATGGACTGACTAGTCCGGTGGCAAATTTTGGTGTTGAAAGGTTTCAGTGCCAGAAGGATGCCACAACTGTGCTGGAACAGCGCCAAATTTTTTTGATGCCGACACGGCGCCGAATTATATTGGCTGTGTATATTCTAACATGTTGTATGTTGATGTTCAGGGAATCACAAACACAATGCAATGAGTTTCTTCCAGTATTACAGTTTAGTGCACAGCCCCAAGAATATATGACCAACTAGGGACTCAGTTCGAGGATTTTCTTTGAGCTGTTCACCAGACTGAAGTAGATCAGTTGCTCATTATTAACAAATATTTTTCTAATGAAGGTCAAATCAAAAGAAATTGTGAATACCAAATTGCATTTATCTATTTCTTGAAACCATTCAGGGATTTTTGCTGGTATTAAGTGTCTTTATACTGCCAGATAATAAAGTAC